TTATTTGTGTTTGAATGTGAAGTTTTTATGATAATTCCGTTTTTAAGTGAATTATGAGGATTTTTATTATACTTAATATTCAAATTTTTTTTTATATTATATACACATAACTTACTGAAAAAATGAATTATCGTAAAACACCCACATTCAATCACAGATAATGTACTTACCATCAAGTTTCATAATAGGTAGCTTCACTCTAATTTTTAAACTAACTTTACTAACTAAGCTAAACGAGTTCTTCTGAGCGAAAATTTGCTATGATACGCACTTGTAAGACGAAGACAACAAATGGCTGTGTAGAGTCCTTTTAATGGTTAGTATACAGCCATAATATATAGGTACATTGGAGTATTTACTATTTAGGTGTTTCCAACCAAAGAAAATTAACTATTCCCCCAAATATCTATACTATTGTTATATATTTTTTACAATTTATAGTATACGTATGTATGTTTTAAAATTCAAAATGCTGTTATACCTACATAAAATGGTTTCATATTTTCAATTTATTTTGTATGCATTTGTGTGATGTGTTGCGTACTTGCGTTGTGTGACCAATGACCATCATCTGTTTTTTTATATTTAATAATCGTAGTATCTAATTAATATAATTATTTATCTATAATATATTATTTTTATAATTTTATAAGAGATTATAAAATTAACAGCTTAACATTTAACAGCTTCGTCTTATCAGTTATCCGTCATAGTATAAGTCAATAAAATATCGAACGAAACCAAAGTTGAAAAGAATCACTATAGATAGGTTACTCATCATCCAACACGGCAATTAAATTTTTTTTACAAAAATATTAGTCATATTTTATAAATAACTTGAATCAACAATTATAATACTCACATATCTATGGTATTATTCATGTGCTTGAAACTACTGAAATCCACAAAAACCATACCAACTCTTTGTTTGCAAAACTGTTTGCATTATACATATATTTCTACCTATATTATATTATGTAGACTGTAGACTCAACATGCCAAAGAATTATTTCTCATCATGTGCAAAAAATGTATATAATAAAAGACAGCAAACCGTTCAAGTCTAAATACCAAGACATGTCAATAAAAATACCGATATTCAACATAGTCCATCACTGCCACTGACTTGAAAAAATGATAAAAGTTTAATACATTGATAACATTTTTAAAATTGTTTATATCATATTATGTTTTCTAGTCTGGATATATTTTCTAAGCACATCGTTCAAACATAACTTAATTACTGCATGTTTAAATCCGTTGAAACTATCTGAAGAAAATATTGGTTAGGTAAGTACTTAGCCACTTAGGTAACTTTATAATTTTATCAATTCCAGCTTTAACGACAATTTAATTTTTTAATTTGTTTTAATAAATAAAATATTTTAGAGGAATTAAAATTGTTCATATAATTGTATTTACTAAATATAAAAACTATGATTACTATAGGTACAAATACAAAAAATAGACAAAAATATTTTTTTTAAATATAACAATTAGTATACAGACTTTATAATGAATTGACAACGGAAAGCACCTATATATTACAGTTATATTTACTCGTTGAGTTTTTGGAAAAAATTGTTGGAAAACTTAAAACAAGTAGCATGATGATTGACGAATGCGGAATGGCGATAGACAAGGTCACTAGGATTGGTAACAAAATCATTACATTTTATCTTTGACGGGACGGGTTACCAGTATGAAGATTTAATATATGTTGTCATAAAGTAAATATGTCACGCATATATAAGACGAGAGATAGAATAATTTAATGACTGAAATTGTATATAGCCGAGAATACAAAAGATAAAACCAAAGGATTTTCTGAGGCAATGTAACTACAATATCGGTGGGAATAATTCTGCATTTTTGATTCTAGAGACGAAACGTAGACCAGTGTACGACAAACTACAGAAGATGGAATTTTAATGACACAATCAGTGGCGTGGTGAACATTTATAAACCTTGACGCCCAGCATATATTTCAGTACCTACCCCTTCTTTATCCCCTTAATATAATATATAATACATATAATTATTATGGAACTGTAAATATTTTAATTTTTTGTTGTATGTTATTGGTTACCATAATGTACCCAACCACCCCACCCCAAAAAAAAAAAATTCACCATGACGCCTAGGCGTCATAAAACCCCATTCACCACGCCACTGGACACAATGAATGAAAGAAATATGAACGAACCTGCAGGTATGGTACTGGATGCGTCAGAAAGTCAGTAGTATCGTCTTGAACACTATGCCAAAGCGAATCCAATGAAATGTAACGTTTGAGTCAAAATTTATTGACTAGAATATATACTGTCGAATGAATGTGGAGGATAAGATTGCAGGAAATGGAGACAACAAAAGACAAACACGTATTGAAGACAATGTCACGAATAGGTATAACGATCCATATAAGAATTAAATTACAATGAAATTATGCTTGAGTACAAACTATAGTATTATTACTCAAGTTAATATTAACTATTAAGTTATAAGTATACAATACAAGCTATATACAACATAATATCTGTTAAGAGTAGATGACAGCGCACCGTTTGTTTTCTCTCCCTCTGGCCCACGAGCAATATGTAGACAAAATGTTTTGACCCAAATTCATACAAAAGTTAACATGATGAACATTTATAAATACCTGTAAATATTTCACTACTCCAACTATATGATATTATATTATAATAGTACTTTTAAAAGCATATTTGTACGAAGAAACCCACAATGATATAACAGATAGATAATATTATATTATCACTCTATTTGAATTAGAGAAAGTAAAAAATTCATCCAATATTCTATAATAATAAATATTTTTCAACAATTTATTAATAATTTAAAATTATAAATATAAACATTTGAACAAATTATGCTACAATACTGATTTCATTAATTTATATATTTTTAAAAATAGGTTTCAATTTGCATAACATTACTTGGTAAGTTTCAAAACCATCATCCGTAAACACATAATAAAACGTGCACAATACTTTAATACTTAAAATTATAATAAATGTATTTTAAATATTATAGCATTATTGTAATAGCAAGACAAATTATACTTTATAAGTGATTTTAGTACCTACCTACCAGCTAATAGACCTAATAGTTATACATTTTTAAATATAACACAAATTGTACTTGTAGGTAGGTATTGCACTACTGTGTATATAATTAGGAACGTATATTATACCTTGGGATTGTATAAGAAAAAAAACAAACAACAAAATAAATAATTTTCTATTTAACATATTATTATCGTCATTAATCATACAGTCTCTTAGGTATATTATATAAATAGATTTACTATTATTATACATACATTATTAGGCATACCAAACTTTTAAAGCGTTATATTGTTCACAAGAAATTGAGGTAGTATAAGTAAACATTTCTAAACGATTTTAACAACTCTTATTATAATTTTTTTCCTGTTTAAGTGATACAAATGTTTAATAATTATTTTTAATTATTAAGTTACTCTTTGTAGGTATATTTCAGTATAGAACTGTGCTTTCGGATCGTCTCAACATTTGTATTAAGAATCATGAGCATATACAAACTGATGAAAAATTAGTATTAATTTGTGTCCTATACCAATACTGTACCTACCTAATACCTATACATGCGTACGTGTACCTATACGGGTAATATTTTCAAGAATTAGTTATGGATGGAACATGAGTAAATTATACTTGACATTTGATAATATGCACAATGCCCCATCGCACATTAACCCCCCAACGACAACTGTGGTTAGAGACATTTTACGTAGAAAAATGCAGTTAAATCTGGCATCCACCGTAATAAAGCGTTTTAAAGGCACTATAATTTCGGGGGGTTTTGCACACCGCATTTTACATATTATTATGCATTGTATTACAATGTCACTTCGGGCAGTCTACCCACATTTTTGTCCGATTATCTTCGGATTCGGTGTGTATCCTGTTTGTAATTTACTTTTATAGGTGTCTTATTCAGAAAACTGGGCCCGTGTGAAATCGTTTAACGCGCCCACAGGAAAAAAAAACGGGGAGAGAAAGAAAGAGATAAAGGGTCGACGAAAGGGCGATCGTTTGATTAATCGTCGAGTGGCCTCCGTGATCGACGGCCCGTTGTATACGCAGACCGCAGGCTGCTACTGCAGTAGCACGGGACACATGTTGAATATTATAATATGAAATCGAAATTTCGTGTACCGTGATGAAATTATAATATTAGATCAAGCTCGCTACTACTTTTATTCGACAATGGAAAAATAACCTATATATAGGTATATAATATTATTGTATTTGCACGTCATGCATGTAATAGTAATAATATATAAAATAAAAATATATAATATATATATCAAGTTTACGGAGAAAAGACACGTGTGTAACCTGAAAAACGAAACGAACTAAAATTGTATAAGTACCTACCGATCAAATTGTGGCGGATACGAGGAGGGACACTATAGCGCGACTCCCCAAACGGGCTTGGTTGGTGTTTTTTTTTCCAAAGTTCTAATATTCTACACTTTTTAATTATAATATGCAATTACAATATATTGGTAAAACTTATAAGCTATAATATACAGTATAGTCTTGGTTGCCGACAATAGAATTTCACATCATACAAACCCTCATAACGTTTACAGCACAACCATTATGATAGTTGTGCTGTTGGAGTATAGTTGGCAGCACAAAAGTGCAGTCTAAAGCTCTAATGGCCAAAATAAAGTCAAACACAAAGACCGGGAGAAATCCAACAATGTCCAACAATTGTCTAACAAATGTGTTGGATATATATTTCATAAGTGTCTGTGATGGTTGAGCTGCTAACCTTATTAGGGTCGTTATACTAATAAATCGTAAAAATATTTTTTGAAAATCTGTTCCCCCCTACACCCTTGAACAACCTCTGGAACCTCTACTGGTATTGATAATCGATATTGGGTATAATATAATACTTATATAACAACTCGGTGGCGATTAGTCCGTTTATTCCGTTCGGTCAAGCAATCGACTAGGCGTTGTTCTTTGACTTTCTCGGGACTCGCTTCTCATGTAACCGTAATTAAAGCTTCCGGTGTGTTCATTACCTGTAACACATTTTTCACCCGTCAATCATAACGGATACGAAGGCGGTGGTGGTGGTATATTAATTATTCTATCGACGCCGAGAAGCAGGAGATAAAAAAAAAATGCATACGGACATAAGCTGTTTGAGGAGGAAAAATTAATTTAACGACAGGACAGATTATATTATTATTATGAGTAGGTACGAGAATCTAATACAATTATAAGTTGAACGGTCGTGGCTACTGACTACAAACAAATAGGTACTAAATAGTAAATACATCAATATCAGTATTGTTTGGTAATTGTTAGCTGATAAAACGTGTAGAATCGTAAACTGATCGATTCGAAAGGCAAACAGATTAGGTAATAATTGATTTGGTAAGAAATTGTTGGTTAATCATTTCTTAGCCAAAAGAATTTTAGTTTCAAGTTTACCCAAACTCATAATATATGATATTATTATATTATATTGTAAATAAATTAATGTCTATATCATAGCTAGGTATATTAATTTAATAAGTAAATAATGTTGTTGAAGCCTTATCTTATTAAAAAATAATGTTGTAACTATTTAGAATATTTTTATAAAACAAATAAAAATATAAAACGAATACCTAACAGAATGTCAATAAAAATTAAATGCATACAAATATTAAAAACTTGTATTTCAACATTTCATAGATTCTGAGCGGAGCGGATTCTGTATATTGGTTTTATAATAACGTGACATAAATGATAGCTTATTATTTTTATATTTTTTTTGGGTACCTGAAAATATTTTTAACAGTACACATAAACAATGTTTTGATCTTGAACTTCGAGAGTGGTTTCTGGTTGATTGGATCTAATTGATAACTTGGGATCTAAAGTAAAAAATTCCCAGTACTTTTTAAATAATCGAAAAAAAACTAATATATTATACACTGCTACGCCAGTTTTCGATATAATCGTTTTTGTTTTTTTTTTATTTTAATATTAAAAATGAATAATAATTATTAACTGTAAATACACACAAAATATTTATATAAACATTTTCTAGAAATATATTTTCCAAATTTTTTTCATTGTTTTTAAACTATTTATTAACATTTGGAATGTTAAAGTTCTTTTTTTATAATTGTTTATTGAAGTCAAAAAGGTTGAAAATGTAATAAAACGTTCTTCATAGGTTTTTTACAGTAACATACAAATATAAGAAATACATAATATATATGCACAATTTGTATATACATTTATAGTTTGAATTTATACGATAATGGATATTTTATTGATTTGTATGTTATAATAACAGATATACAGATAGTTATTATATGAAATAAAATTATAATTAGGTATTATTATTATATAATATTATATTATACTATATTATGGTTTTTGGTAAAAATTAATTCAACCAACCGTGTATATTTTCTTATAGAAAAATAAATTACTATTAGCATAATAAAACATCCTCAGAAATATAAGCTGACAGACTCCGCTCAGATTCGTTTTTTGGTATAGCTACAATGATTTGTGTATATTGTTTGAATTCAAATTTAACACATGCATTACAATAACCTATTCAATGACGATGAACACCTACGGCTGACAGAATTTGTTATTTATTACATTATTTTAAATTATATAAGAATTAAAAAAAAAAGAAAAGATTTTAAGTATAACCAATCTAAACGCAATAACATTTTAATTGTACATTTTATGGGTAAAATTATTGTAAACGTACAAAAATGTATTATTGTTAGTTGATTGTATCAAAGTATAATAATTATTAGAATAATCTATACGATAAAATATGGCTTACTTTCATTGCAATACTCGGTGTACTCATCAAAAGTAGCATTACAAAACGACAGTTGCTGATTGGATAAGTCGTCAGAAACAATTGGGTTTCCTGTTACTGTAAATCGAAAGAAAAAAAACCAATATAATCAGCCGTGTTTTCAGTGATTGACAATATTTTTAATTTACTTTGAAATGGAACACATAATTTTTCATCCAATACGTCTGCCCAATTGTTCTTATGCGAATATGTGATTTTTTCATACGGCGTGATGCCTTGAATTCCTTTTTGTGTCACCATAAACCATTGACATCTGTACCATAAGTCTTGAATTTTCCCACTCCCTGTGTTTTTATTAATCATACAATTAATTATAGCATTGTTGTGGGCTGTATAATAATATAATATTATTTTCAATAATTATATTCGACCGTTAAAAATGAAGTTATAAAATATGTTGTTAGATATTTATCCTAATTAATAATTATTTTTATAAGGTTCTTAAATATTTTTTATATACATAGAATTTGAAAAGTAATAATATTTATATACCTATAAGTTGTACGCTATTCTATGTGGTTTATAATTTTAATATTTTATCATTATTTAAATTTTAAATATGGTGACAAAATTATTAATGAAACACGAAATCGGTATAAATCAATAGGTATATAATAAATAGGTACTTATTCTAGTAAAAAGAATGTCTATTGTATAAATATGTACGTATGTTAAACACAGTACCTATTATACTGCAGTATGTTAAACTTTTTATCTTGAACTATTTTCTTTATCTTATTTTTTTAAGACCGTCCCAAATTAATTTTATTGTTTGAATACACTTAGTATTACTTACCCATATTGTATAAAACATTTCTTGTGTTTTTTGTTAACTTTTTAGAAGCCTCGTCAAATGTGAAAAATATTACAACATCCCCAACTTTAACCATGTGATCAAGCCATTCATCCAAATTAGAACTATTATACTCATATGTATCAAAGTTTTTAACATCCATGATGGTGTATGTAGTTGACTCTATCACGGCTACGTTGATTCCACGACCACCTGCAGTTCGGTTGAATGACATAACGCTACATAAATTTAAAAAATGTAGAACATCATATATTATTATTAATAGGTACAACATTTTCAGGATAATATATTTATTTCCACAGATTTAACATTTTTACTGATATTTGAGATGTATATTATGCATATTTATGCATATTAAACTCGTTTACCTTTTTTTTTTTTTTTTAAATAAATGCCACAATAGTGCAAAAAAATAATTATTGTATCATTTGTTGGAATACGAAATTACATAGGTAATGCAATTAATAGTTTTCAATAAATGTATATAAATCTATTTAAAGTGTTAGTAAATTCCTTTGATATTCTGAAAACCTTAAGTAAATTACTATTATGTAGTGGTTTTTCACTGAATCACATTAGGATAGGTACCTATAAGTATATAAATAGATAAATTTTTATTTTAGCAAACGTATAATTAAATTAAAAGTGAATCTTCAATAATATAGATAACATTTTGATTTTTTAAATAGTCTGTGATTTTATTATAGGTTCTGAATAAAATTATTCATGAATTTATATATTGACCTAATTATATATAATTTGTTTTAATCTGTCCTGTATTATTGATTATAATTTGAAAAACATTAAATACCTAAAAATAATCTATTATCGTTTTAATAAAATAATGTCTATTAATTAATTTACATCTTTAAGTAATTAATTTTATTTATACAGACTATGACATTATATGAATTTGCACGGTTTCGTTCGACTTTTGTATGTGATATTGCCATATTAGACTATAATATTCAACAATACGATTTCAAATTTTATATGGATGTGGTTAACATGTGAGTATAAAATTATAAACCATATAAACTGGATCCAAGTTGTACTTAAAAATCAATTAAAATTATCCAAATGGTAACACGATAATTTACCATCACATTCCAAAAACGTTTCCAAAAAAATTATTATTTAGGTATATATCATTTAGTTTTTTTCATGATAAAATATAGCCATTGTAATTATAAATTTATTTATTTTAGATTCTATGGGTAGTAATAAGAAATATGTTTGGTGCTTTGAGATGCTTTGAGGTGCCAAATGTAAAATATTCCCTGTACTTTTCAAGATAAACAGGAACAAGACAACAACAAAAATTGTAAAAAATGGGAATATGTTATTAACATTTTAATTTAAACCTGTTACAGTCTCATTATTATTGCATAATCCGATTTTCACTCAAACGTTATTTTATGGATAACAATGTCCACACATTTACTTTACCCTTATGTAGGCACCTATAATGATTAAACGATATGGAAATCGGTAAATAGTAATGTATGATTGGAAAAATATTATATTAAACGATTTAATGAAGTTTAAATTCAAACTAAGATTCATTATGCTCTATAAATTTTCCAAAACACATTTTGAATACATACTATTTTCCCATGATACACAACCTCGGAAAATCTGTTTTATTTTTTCCCGTATATATATGAACTGGAAAAGCATTATCCGAACAAATGGTTTGTAAACCACAATTTGGTAAAATCTCGATTACTTCAATTGTTGGTTTTCCGTCATCATATCCTAAAATTATAAACATAAATTGATTAGTATCCTAAAGGCTAAGACTTAGTATGTTTTTCTCAGTTCTTAAAAGTAAAAATTGTAAGATTTATAAAAAAGAAAACAATAATAATTATAGTATTATTTCCAATTAAAATAAGACATTGTAAAACCAATAATAGACACGCCTCCTCTGAAAATGTGCCAATATTCATGTAGTATGGCATACAATCAAATAATTTAGGTATTATATTATTATACATTTATACTTATATATCTTCAAGTCAAATAATGCGCTGATTAATTATAATTATAGAATTTAAACTTAACAGTTTGTGAGGGTTGAGGTTAATTAGATTAAACAAATCCCTACACAACATAGGAATGTTTAAAATTAATTATACTTTAGAAGCAATTATAAAGGTAATATACCCACAAATTGTGCTTTGTGCTTAAATGGCGTGTATTATTCATCACAGGTACTAATTACAATTAATAGAATGTATTTGATAGATATAAGTATTGTTTATTATAATTTATAAGTATATAGGTAGGATGGACCTATAATAGGAATTCAGTGTTGGGAATAAATAACAAAAAACTATTAAGTTAAGATAAGATCATTTTGATACAATATTATATAGGTGAAAATAAAGATATCATAAATAGAATTTATCTAAATATCTAGATAATTAGAATATTTTTACACTTATTGTATTGTTATTTATAATTTGGTATTGTTAGGTTTTATATTAATATAATGATATAATGACATAATTATTTATGATGACAATGAATTGCGCATTTATTTTAATCATACCTACCTTAAATCTCTGAATTTTTTGTTTTAATATAAATGTTGTCAAATGCCTTTATTCGCACTAAAATATAGACACTCGAAATCATATTAAACCAATTACCAAGAATGAAGTTACTGATATTATTATAAATGTCAAAAATGTAATAGTCTTCTTGTTTTATAAATAATTTGTATTATATTATAAATGTAGTAACATTGGTTTTATTCATAATAAAATAAAATATTTATGGGAAAAATTAGGCATTTTCGTACCATCATATTTCTATAGAAGTAAAGAATGATTTATTATTCCCTACTATCCAAAAAAATCTGGTGCTGATTCATATTTCCCACGCCCGTTAAATATAGCTAATAACATCTCCTCCTGATTAGATTCATTAGATTTTTTTTCGACTACTCCTGATAGTTTTATATACAATGCTATATGTTATTTTTAAGAAATAGTGAAATATAAGATAAATTTATTTAAAAGAAAAAAAATTCATAATTTTATGTAAACTTTATGTAGGTACCTATGTATTTTTGTCAATTAATTTATTGTAATAATTATTTATCTATTTTTGTTTCGTTACATTATTTATAAAATAAATAATAATAAATCAAAAAGCAAATAAGGTCGTGCCTCGTAGGTTCATGCTTGTTAAATAATACGTTAAATAATAAAGTATAATATAATATAGTATATAATATAGTATAATATAGTTGTATAATTACCTATTCATTAATTTTGTAAGGGCACTATTATATTAAAATTATCTAGATGAGCCCACTTTTTATCTAAGCTAAATTTAGTAAATCGTAACATCTAGATACTTGAAAGATAATTTATTTAAAAAATCTTATCTGAATAATTCCCACACTGAATAGGATACATAAAGCTGCACTGCTAAATGTTAATTATTTGACAAGTCCGTTCGTTAAAATGATGGCCAATAAACTAGAATTGATTTTTACACATGTGGCAAATAATGTGGCAATACCATGTCATATGATGTGAAATATTTCAAATCTAATGAAATGTCAGTATAATGAAATAATGATAGGTAATACCTATTATGTGAAATGGAAATATTGTATACATGTTTCATAATGAAATATTAGATTTCCAAAATGTTACGTATTTACCGCCATAAAACGTTTTGGTAGAGTTCCATGAAGTCTTCGTGATCGATATGGAAGATTTTTCATTCTTCAAGTGGAAATAATCCATGTAAACCGACTTGTATAGTAAAACAACCATTACGATGATCAAGCAGATAACGAATCGGAATGACGGACCTATTTTAATATAGAAAAAAAAATAATACATCAAGATATCGAAGAAAAAATTACATTATTTCCGTGAAGTCCACCATCGTTCGTATTGGCTTACTCGACAGGATGTCGCAGAGCGAATCGTCCTTTCTCGTTCTGTGTTACCATGAGCACTTGCTATATCGCCGGCCCCGTTTCTCAAGTCACGTACACCCGGCAACAGTCCCAAAATTGTCCTTTCTCTTATTTTTTCTAGTAAAATTCCTTATAAAACAAACAGTATATATTTTTAACTTTTGGATAATAATAGCTACCTAGTTAATATTATTTTATAACATAATATAACAATGCATCTAGTAATCAATAAAACAAAGTGTAGTTACCTATATAATCCACATATTAATGTTTCTACTTTCTGTATTCAAATTTAGATATATATCTATATATATATAATATAATATGATCCATACTTATACATAGGTAGGTACTGTTAATATAAATATATCAAAATCATATGCGAAATAGTCAAAGTAATTTGTATTAAACACAACTTAAGAAAGTTTAACAAACCTAAAAATGATAAAAGTATAAAAATAACGTTTTAAAAACATGACATTTTCTATGCGATTCTAAATTACTACGTCATATTAATTATTATTCTACATTTTATAATTTGAAATCGTATTATCTCAAAATGTCAAAATGATAATAATAGTAAACTTAATGCGAATTAATCAATATTATAGGTGTTATCCTTTTACTAATTTTCCTTCACAATTTTACAGGCTTATGATTGACGATAAAATTAAATTATTTGCTTGGTTAATTTTATGTTTTTTATTTAGAAATTAGTACACACAATTCACTATTTGAAGCTATTAATGCATGACATAAAAAATACAATTTATAGCTCTATAGAATATTACGAAAACTCCAAATTACAATTTTGTAGCTACAAAATTGTGGTCTCTCTACTTTAATTTTGGTTTAATTTGGTTCTAATTTTGTCCAAGTTTGTATTATAAATTTCAATTTTTCATCTTGTTTTTTTCGAAGTTTGTTTATATGATTTTTTCTAATACTTTTATTTTTAAATAAGCTTCTTCTGGAGGACCGGTGGTAAGGTTATTGGTTGAAAAACCGCATCAGGGAGTACAATTATTGTCAAATATATATACTTGTAATAAAAAAAAAATGTGACAAATATTTATAATACCATGAAATAAGATAGTTGAACTTTGTTAACTCGAACTTTTAACTTCAACTACCTACTTCAAGTATGGCCAAGTCCGACTGTATTTTTAAATACTGTATTTGAAAATTGTTTTAAATGGACAGCATCTATATTTCACGTAGCACAATCATGTTGCGTTTTTTACAGATAAAAAGATAATATGGGCACA